CCCAATTTTTCTGCCCCCCCCAGCTCACCCTGGAGATGGTCAGCGGAGCACTGAAATCTTTCCCGCCCACCAAGCGAAAACCCCACGGCGAAGGACCACGCAGGACCACCGAATGGGACATAACGACGGTAGAAAGCGCTCTGCTCGATCGAGCCACTTCGCGCTTCTCCTAATTACCGGGACGGATCGATCCCGCCTCCCCGCCCCGCCCCAAAGGGGCGTGGCGGGGAGGCGGGATCGATCCGTCCCACCCCTCGTTAGAGGAGGGAGGGGGGATGTTGTGGAGAGGGGAGTTTTAGCTCCCTGACCCTTTTTACTAGGGATTTTCAAAGCGACTGCTCCCACTAGTAAAGTTAAGTTGTATCGCGTTCGGTGACATCCAAGCCTCCGCTTACCGCGCCTCGCAAATGATGTCAGAGGCCGGTCAACACGTCGTCACCAACCGTTTGGTTCAGCGCAAGCGGTATGTTGGAGGAGAAAAGAGAAAATTTCCAGAGAATAAGCAGTTTCAAGTAGTTTGGGGATCCTTCATGGGCAGCGCTTGGTCAAAATATAAAGCTCCAGGAAAATAATCCGGTTGGGTTTCAAGCAGTTTGGGGATCCTTCATGGGTAGTGCTTGGTCAAAAGAGAAAGCTCCAAGAAAATAATCAAGATGGTTTTCAAGCAGTTTGGGAATCGCTTGGCCAATGCGCCCCAGCATCTTTAGGGGGGTGTCTTGCAGGGGTCTCTGGGGCGGCACCAGGTACCGCAGAGCATCCCTGCTTCCCGGCGGTACGGCTGAATCGGTGACCGTCGGAGAACCCAGAAGATGTCCGCGCTGCAGAGGGTGTTTAATGTGATGGCTTGTAGGGACGCAGCAGTAGCTTGGAGGTGGGATGGGTGGTCAGCTGCTCAGCATCTCCCCCGAAAGCTGAAAGCAAATCTCAAAATGCCTGTAAACCTCCCTCTCTGCCTGGAAAGGGCTGGCCCAGAATATCCCACTTCAAAAAAGGACCTAACAAAGGATTCATTGTTTGAAAAGTCCAGTTTCATCAAGTACCTTCTTGTTGCCCGGTTTCTGTGAATTTGATTTGTGTGCTATTTGCTGCAAAGTCTTTTTGGACACGTTCGCTCGTGACACGGGAAGGCTGGTGTGACCGTCTCACTGCCGTGCCCGTGTTATCCGGGAGCCTTTGGTCTGGGACAGGGGTGGGAGCTGAGCCTTTTATACACGCTCCCGAGCCATGCTGCAGCCTTTGGATTTAGCAACGTGAATACAGTGAGCGCACTGTGTTACGAACCCGAAACACAATAAACTTTGTTTGCTTTGCTAGAAAGGTGCCTACAGAGGAGCAGTTCAGCTGCAGCTGGTACCAGCAGAGCTCTCGCCCGTACTCTTTGTTCCACGTGAGCCCGTGTCTCCATCGAGAGAGGCCATAAAAACTGACTTTTGTCTGTGCAACTGGTGATGAATCATACCTCCTCATTCCTGTATGATATCACCGAGGCTGCAGAAGTCTGGGAGTAGGCTGGCCTGAGGTTTCCCTGCTTGCATTAGAAAATCCACCCAGCTGAACACCAAAATTTGTCTTCCAGAGAGCTGGAGGACTAGTTTATGTCCCACCTCTCCTGCTCTCGCTGTTCAGTGACGAGGAGGACTGAGTTAAAGATGTGCACAAATGCGGTGTGTCGGCACTGGCATCTCCTTCCTCTTAGGAGGGAAAAGAAAAAAATCCTTTCTGTAAAAGAAACTAAGTTTTCTGGAAAGCAGCAACAATAAAAACAGAGAAAAGGAAAAGAGCAGAGAAAAAAATGGAGACTGCAGTTCTGTGGAGTCAAACATTTTCCACTGGCATTCATCGGGGCTTCATTACCGGGGTGGTTTCTAAATTGCACCCAGGCTGTGAGTGGCAGGCTCTGCCGTGCAGCAAACCATCAGCGTTTTCAAAGTAATTCACGGGTGTAGGAAATAGATGATCAAAACACAGAAATCCCCACTATTAAAGTATTCATTTCAAAAGCTGATGGGAAAGCTGCTGGCTCCGAGGCACTTTCTCTTCAAGGCCTTTTGAATGGTCAGCCTAGGTTACCCCTCATGTCACTTAAAGCTTGTCGAAAACTTAACCCAAGTAAAATACAATTAGAATTAGCCAAATTGGTACAAACTTGTGGGTGTGCTTATTCCAAATGAGACTGTATTCCAAAATACATTAAACTGAGCTGAAGTAGAGGCAGTTTTCCTCTGAATAAAAGTATCTGCAGTTGAATCGCTCCTGATGGAAAGTGTCCATGTGTAGAGCAGCCCTCAGGTTTCAGAACTGCATCAGGAATTAACTGGGCACCCCTCTATCAGTGATAGATGTTTTTTTCCCAGGATTTGGGGAATGAGAGCATTAGCTAAAGAACTCCACATTTTCACAGGTGCCTCATTTTCTTTCCGGTGCTCACACACCTTTTCACATGTGCTTTCTTCGAGCAAAGCCAACAGTTTTGCAGCCTGCAAAGGACCCAGATGTACTCTCACTTCAATCAGCCAAAGTGGGCTCAGATTTCTGGTTTTGTCTTTGATAACTTGAGAATTTTTAAATTGTATTTCAAGTCATTTCCAAAAACTAATGGGACCTCTACTTCTGGATGAGAAATTAACAGAACCAAGAGAAGGTGATATGAACCTTGCTGTAGGAGCAGGCCTTAACACCCAGCTAAAACACAGTATCTCCAACATGCTCATTCTTCTGCCGAGTGCTGAAACCCTATAGCGAGTTTTAACAAAGACCACACATTATTCAAAAGAGAGGTCAAACATGTTCATGAATTCCATCTCATCACTCCATTCACTTTATCTTTTTTCCCCCAATATTTTCCTCGGGGTTTGTTTCCAGTATTTTTCCACCCCAAAGTCTTATCACCTCTTTGTTTCTTTTTTGAATATTCCATTCTGGCTCTCCTTTGCTGCTGGTGACACTCTGGGTTTCCTTCCTTTGTTATCACAGACCGACTGAGTAAACTACGGATATTCAGCTTTGTGTCCCATTTTGAATGAGCATTCAGGTTTTCCATTTGCCACCCTCCCAGCCTCTAGCAGAGGTCCCGTGCTTATCTGGCAGGCCCGGTAATGACCCTCCCCAACGCAGTTTGTGAACATCTGCCCATATGAGAGTGATTTCAAGCATTGTTATGGCTTGATAGTTCTTCTCCAGGTCAGGAGACTTTCTTGCTCTACAAATTGCCTTCTTCTGAACTACGGCTGTTTCTTCAAGCGGTTTCAGGAGGCTGAAGTTAGTCAAGAGTCCTCTATAGCAGCAGGCTGGATCTAGTGGAAGTAGAAATGAGATTCTCTGATATTTTCAGATCAGGGTGACAAGTTGATGTGTGGGTTATGAATATTTTCTTCAGTGTTTTCCTTCTTATTAGGATAGAAGTTAGTCATTCATAAATTGCTTGATAGACACAATTTGATTATGAGTCCATGATAAATTGCTGTCCTCTTTGCACTGCCCTCTGGCCCTTCATGAAAGATTTTATTTTCAAACTGTGAAAAAATACCTGATAAACCTTGTAAGTTCAATAAATGACTACATTTGTCAGAGAGGTCTGCAAAAGGCTTGCTAAGATAAAGCTTCTCTGTTTTTCAGAGTTTAAGGTAGAATTCAGCCTCTCTATAGATGGATTATTTTTTTTAAATGTGAGAGCCTAAAAATCTCTGTCCATATAACTCTGCTTGCTGGAGCAGGGGCATCTCTCTTGATTACGTACAGCTCAACTTTACAAGATGCTCAGCACTTTCTGCTTTACTCCTGTTGGGCACAGCTTGGGTTTTGAAGTGGCTTCCTTACATTCATGTGGCACTTATGACTCCCCTAAACCAGCGGCATCTTCTTGTAGAATCACCCAAATGTTAGTGGAGTCCCCAGCATGACTGCTGGCACCTCTGTTATCCAGTAGGTACGCCAGCTATCTCTCCATTTCTAGCTGGAATATGTTTCACTGCACGATTAACTGTTCAACAGGATATGTGACCTGTAACTGGGAATGTGCTGGGAATTACAGTTTTCACTCATCCATCAGTCATGCCTAATTTACCTTCTAGAAAGGGCACATTTGGAAACACTAATCCAGTACATTGATGGAATGGCATCTAAAGATGAAGTTAGCAGTCAGACATTTTTTGGCTGAAGACATAGATTAAAAGGGCATCTGAAGTGTGGGAAGGTGATTATTTGGTACTAGTACAAATGATTAAACTGCAAAAAAAGTTTTAATAAGGGTTCATTTGGCAGGTCCATACTTCACATAGAAAGCTCTTGTGAAAAGTATTAACTGAACTTCTGTTGCATTCACACGCCTTTGGGTGAAGAGAGGTCTGTAATACGTTTATATTACAAAGACGCCTCTCCTCATATTCGTGCAACGCAGAGATGACCTTTATCAACAGTCAGTTCTCAGCGGAGCCCACGCGATGCCCGTTCCCCTCCCCTGGTCCTTGTCCTGCCGCCCGAATCCTTGGACGTCCCCCCGAGCCGGACCGTGTGCCGGAGCTAGGCACGGAGCAGCTACAAGCACGAGGGGACGTGGAGCAAGGCAGCCGGGTGGCAGAGAGGACTCGTGACTAACCAGCCCAAAGACATCCTTCCTTCCTACAACAGAAAGTGCAACTCCCCATACTGCTCATTGAAGTAGCAAACTCATATCTGATGAAAAGTTTGTTCTGAAGTAACATTTGTCAAGTTCAGAAATACTTCTTGCAGCTCATTTACCCAGAGGTTCCAGGCGGATGACCTCTCTGAAAGAGCTTTTATTGCACTGACGTCTAACATAGCAAATGTAAAATTCCAAACTCCAGTTAATTTTATCACCTGAGAGTTTAAATACTTCTATCATTAAGGTAAGGAAAATATTTTTACAGCCCCTCTGTTTCAACTCACAGGGGTTACCCAAGGCACAAGATCTTTCTCTTTCAGTGTAGCTGCTGTTGGAAATATTTTAAACTAATGTACATGTATGTTTCATGGGATGCCCTTTTTAATCCATAAAAGCATCCATATTTAATTTTTAAATGGAGGTGGGAATCTAAGATAGTTCCTTGGCTGCAGAGTGGAACAATCAATAACGCCCCTTTAGACCATTTGTAAACAGTTTAA